TTGTTTAAACATTTGTTTAACAACAAGTAAAAGCTTGGAATGGTCTATTCTTTCATTGGGGTGTGTGTCTGTGTCTATTTATTCAATCATAGCTAAGTTGCAAAATATGCATTGAAGATTTATTAGAAAGTTGCTTTTAACAATGTTAAAGTCATGGTTGAAACAATAGCAGTATAGTTGCTGGCCCCCCTAATAGAACCATTAAATGACCATGATGAGATACGAGTCTTCCTAAAAGGTTCACCTACACTTGATCAATTTTTAAAATCTTTAAAACAAGTGTAGGACTGAATGACATGAAAATATTTGATACAAACTGCTTTTACTGAATATATGCCATGAAGAAATATATATATATATAAAACCAGAGAATTTAAATAGTGTTATAAATACTGTGGAAAAGCCATTAGGATTAAGAACAACAAATAAATAATGTTAACCAAAAGTAGAAACTTTCCTACACAACATTTTACAAAATATAAATTTAATTACCACAAACATTATTTTTTCTTGTAGGTTTGTTTTTAGTGCAAGGATAAACAATGAACCATCTGCACTTTCTCTCTACCACAGGAAACCATAGATTTTAGTGTTATACATCCATAAGCTTATCTTTGACCCACTAGGGTACAACCACAAACATACCTTGCAAGAGACCAATGGACAACTGGTCAGTGTTCAAATTCTCCAGATATTCTCCGATGTAAGTGTTCAAAACCCAAGCAACTAGTCCTTCCAACATCTTCCAAGATCATAACCACTGTAATAATTGGCACGTTTTCTACGACAAGGAAAAATTTAAAGATTTATGAATATTGTACGCAAAAAGAGTCTTTCAATCAAGTTTTATAGAAACCAGCATCGAAAAAAAACACAAAAATGATTGATAATTGTATTTTGGTAACATTTATGTGCTCTTAAGATCAACAAATACATACTATTAGTGTCTGGTAAGAATGTTATACACTTACGCCATAAATCATTGCTTTGATAATTCAGAATTATCAATGGAACATGCATTTTTTTTTGAAAATAAGAAACAATTTCATTTAGAACTATTAGAAATCTACAGTCACAAGTTTCTTTTTTTTTTCCTTTAGCTAGACTTTGGTCTTTCTCAAGCTGTGATAAAACTTATACATACTATGTTATTATATACTTACCTTGATATAAGCTTTTCAGATCTTAGTGAAAAATGACAAAAAATATTTATGAGAGCATAAGTGTTTATAGTTTACCTTTGTCCGAACCAAATTTATTCACAACCGACCACTTTTTGCTTAACTGTGACAATGTATGCACCTCAACCATTTCATTAAGCAACAAGATACAAATGCTTTACATGGAAAACTTTTCAAGGATGCATTCTTTTTACAAAACACCTTACTAAAATAGCAACAACTGCTTCTTGTTGTTGTGATAAAAACTTGTATATAATGTTGTACTTCCAACTGGTCTAAGTGGTGTATTAGCTTTCTTTGTACATGTATGAATTCAAGAATAAACTTCTACATGACGAGATTAAACTTGTCTTTTTCACTTTGCGCATCTTAAATTTTGCACCTTCATATGTTATGAAGAATTCCCATTGTAGATTATAATAAATAATTATTATATTATTTTTCTTAAACTGAAGTTACCATTTCTTTGTCCATTTATGAACAGGATTCATATCCAACTGTAATTTCAAATTATCATTTAGACAGTGAAGTTCATCATATAGCTTCTATAACCTGCATACAAGTGTGTATTTGTAGTAGTTTTTTCCAATTCGTAGATTTAAACTTTTTTTAAAGAACAGATTATAAGAGATTGCTTACAGAATGCCAGTTAATGGTAGCCCAGTTTAATACACTGCTGTTGATTCGGACTCATCTAACTCGTGTTCCTTATACATGTCAGAAGGTTGACTAAAACGACCTGTTATTTTAGAAACGTACATATGTATGATAATATATTATTTACATATGAGACGCATGAACTGAATGTAATATGAATTTTGTAATAATTGTAGAAGGGAAAAGTCATACTGATCAATAAAATAACAGTTAACATTATTTATGGGTGTATTAAATATTTAAAAAATACTGTTATAAACACAGTCTGTCAATACCAAAGGATCACGAGCCACACTTTCTGACACTGAGATGGCAGAGTTACCAAGCATTAAATTTTAAACAATTCATTAAACCATGAGGTAAATATACTGTGGTCTAATTATCACAGACAGTGTTGGAACATTTTGTACAGTGGGTTTCTGAAAGTCGTTTAACAAAACTGTAAACCTTGTACACGGTGTCAGTTATGTAGTATTCAGTTAATATTACTGAGTTTAAATATGCAGCACTCCTACACTTCAAATCAGGGGGTATTCCTACACCCCCCCCCCAGTTCTCACACCCTTAATTATTACACTAACATTCTCAAATAATTAGCATAATGTTTCAAAAGTCAATTTCAAGTGATATTTTAAAACACATTGGACTAGCTATGATTATAAATAAGATTAAAATGGCTACTTAAGTTGAAAACAGTATTACTATTAATGATAATTAGTAAATTTTTTCTACACTGAGAAAAATCACACTGATAACAAAATGTAATAATGTGTAAAATTAACTGCATTTTTGATTAAACTGACAGATGTATTTTAAACGTATTTGACTACGAATTGTAGGTTTATTTCAAATATTACAATGACATACATGGTATTGGTAGTACTTTTTTATTATATTATGTTTATAAACACAATAATAATGCTGCTCTATTAATAAGGTCGTTTCACTGTGTGTGTAGATTCACTGTTTAATATAAACACCAAAACTGCCAAGTGACAATAAGTTATTAATATTAAAACTTAAAAGTATTTCCACGCCTAATTTTTAGGTTAGGAGTTTGATATGACGTCACTAGTCTTTACGGTAAAAAAAGTACGTACTTATTCTCGCCAACACTGTTAGTATAACTTGATAATCGTCGTACCCGTGCACTGCCACTGTTGCAGCAGCAAACCTAAAGACTAAAGCTAAACAAAATTAAATTTTAATCATAATTTACCTACCTGCTCTAGTAATACAAATACTACTAAATTATGATATATACAACAACTGAGTAAGCTTAGTCTATATTATTTACTACTAGTAGTAGTACTACTTCATTTTATGTGCAACTGATAAGGAAATTTTCAAATTGTTAATATTTTGCAAGTTTTCTAACTAATTTTCTAAATAACTATTAACATTATAATTTTTTTTTAAATTAGATACACAAAGCAAAGGGCAAATTATATGAAATGTTCTGCCTTGGCAATTTAGATAATAAATAAAGTAAGCAACATCAAATTACCTGTCGACTCGAATATTTTTGTTTCACTTTAAAGTTTCCTCTAACTTTCGATTTAATATTATTTACTGTTCTTCCTTATCCTATACCGTGCAGTCCGAATGCTGTATTGCGTGATATTAATTTAAAACTACACCAGCGTCACCTATTAAAAGCATATCCTGATTGTTTTGTTATTATTATTTATGAGTATTAATTCCATTGACATTATTTTTATGAATGAACAAAAACTAAAATATGTATTTTAGTTAAATTTCGCCTTACGTTCAGTATATTTTTATTCTGTTTCTTATGACTAGTCTTACGTGCTACAAAAACATGAAAATGCACATAACTGCATACCCAACTCTGCCCTTGGTGAAAGCCCGACAATTCCAGTGAAAGCCTATTAGTTAAAGTGAACTCGCAGTCCATAATGGGCTTTCTTTTTGAAACTATTGTAGTGCACCTTAAATGAATTCCTTTAAAAGTTTTGCAGGTTATTTTAAGGAGAGACACGCATTCCTCCGTCTTTTTTTCTCTTTAAAATGCGGAAAACACTCATAAATTTGCTAAAAATGAGCAAAATCTCTGTGAGTATTTTTAGTGGCGTTCATTCCTCAAGAAAATTGTTGTAAGACAGGGGATGTGGACCAGAAGTAAGGAGGTGTAGCATTCGAGTGAAGAAACTTGACAGAAATGGCAAAATAGTTGCGTCACTTCTTGTTCAAAGTAGCCCATTTCATACTAGAGATGTGGTCAAGATTTCTACTGACTTAACTTGGTACATTTAATTCATTAACTTTAATGATAATCTTGAATTTTGTTTCTACAAAAACTACATTCTACATAAAGAAGTAGGAAATATCCTATAAAATATTTTAATTGTGAAATACTTCTCTAATTCAGGTTTAAGCGCTTATTCTAACCCTAGTATAAACGGGAAGTTAAATGGTGTGAATTAAAAAAAGCGTGAAACTTATACAGCAACAATATCTTTATTCTCAGAATTGTAGCTGAATATTTTATTACTGTATATTTTTGTTACTATGGGAGACAAGCCAAAATGCTGAAAATTTTACTTACAATCTTTGACTTGTAGAATTTTGTTCTGGTATGAGTTTTATTCAACTCAACTATTTACAATAGCTACTGCAGTAACGTTATACGGTTTATTCTATAAACTACTTTTATTTTTCAATATATGGGAAAGTTAAATATGAAATTGTTTTGCTTTTGGACTACAAAGTCAGCTTGCCAAGTTTGTTCTGGATCAGTTAACTCATTTAGGAGGAGATGATTCCACAGACAGACAGCAAGTTTTCTTTGATATTGTATAGTTATAGTATAGCGCATATGTGGAGAACGCCTGTACCCAAATTTTTATACTCAACTCTACTTCACTTCGCTCGCCAGAGCTGGATAACAAACAACAACTAAAGTTACAAGCATAAGACAAAACAAGGGAAAAGCTTTCTCTAGGTATGCTGAACTTGTAAAAGAGGTGAGGAAACATCTTTAATGAATATGTCTTACCAGTTCAGTACTCCCCCTCCTCTGCTAGCTACACCAAAGGTAAAGTAAAATATAATAACTCCAATGTTAAAATGAAATACAAGCTTAAGTAAGCTAAGTCTAAACTTGAACTAGTAAAATCTCATTCAAGTCTGAAACCCGAATAAGGTTTAAAATCACTGCAAAATCTAAATAAAAAACTTTCTTAAAACTTAGTGCTAAAATCTGCCTAACAGGAGTTAACCCGGATTTAAATACTAACAGTACAATAACATTAGCATAGCCAGATTTTAAGAAGACCGCAGTTTGTACGTGACCTTCACAATTGCGATCAGAACGAAAGGGCATGGCACCATTGGCAGATATTCGATTCGCCGACAAAAAAAAAAAAAAGACAATTATCTCACAATGTCTCGAGCTATCTTTTCTTTAAAAAAAACACGACTAATTACTATTTAATAGATCCGCAACTTGTGTGCGCCAGAAAAAGAAAAGTCTAATTGTTCACTTGAACAATTCTCTGTATCCAAATCGAACTGAAAGAAAATACATAAATTTCAAAAAATGTACATATTAAGTAAAAGGGTAGCTAACGCATGGTACAGCCCTATACCACAGTTTTCGATCTTCTTGCTTGATAAATAAATATTTTAGTACCATTTACTTTTAATTGAATACATCACAAATATATTTTGAAGGAGGGCATTTAATTTATATTTATAAATAAGGATTCATACGTTTATATATATTACTTCTTCAAATTAAGTAAAGATTATTTCAATCTGTAAAAATTGCTAATATAGACTCTTGGTCACTTGTACCCCGTTTTTAAAATTGTTTAATATGCCGTATCACTTATTTTTAGGGCAACCATATTTACTTTGGAGCATTCCTCTGGATCAGGTCTAATCTTCAAAGTTACCTAATTTAGTTTTTTCTTTCAGGTGAGAATTGAAAGTCCTGAAAGATTTGTTTTACTTGTAATGTATGGCATCATATATAAGTTAGAAAATATCTTTCCAATATTATTTACTTTCAGAATGGAAACCAAATGTATACTTGAGCTTAATAGGGAAAGACTAATCGATCAGGAAATGTAACGTTTTCTTGGGGAGGAAAAACCAAAAAACAAATTTTTTAAAGTTACGTTTTTGACGATATTATTTTAAAAAATTAACGTTCCAGTAAACTTTTGAAGGGAGAGAGAACTAATGTGTTATGTTTTGGATTATAACAGAAAAATAAAATAATTTCTGTCAGTTGCTAAATTCCCTCCAACTTACAAGCGCTTCCAATCGAAACTAACGACCCAACTGTTCAACAACGGCAAAAACTGGAAAAGTGTATTTAGTTTATACAGTCAGCAGGAAATCGTTTAATACCAGGATTTCGTTCCAGAATTTTATAACTAGGTCAAAACTTAAGTATGCAGCATTTTTGTGTTAAAATCAAGTAATATTCTTATAAATATCAGATTAGATTTAAATTATCATAAGATTTTTGTAAAACAGTACCAGCAGCTTTTAGATAAAAGTAATATGCTGAAAGCATTCATCCCTTATACAGTACGTCCATCTAGTGTGCAATTTATCAACTATTTACAATTTAAGCTTACGAGTTTTAGTTTTTAATGTAAAAGTGTTTAAAGTCAGTTTTAACTTTTGGAACTCCACTTTCGTCATAAATGATCTAAAATTTCTTTAAAAACGTATTGCAATTTTAAGGTTTTTATAACTGACCAATTTTAATTGAAAAGTTAATGGAATTAACAATGAACAAATAGTAAATCAAAGTACTTTATTGTTGATAAAACTAAAATAAAATAAAAGCCTAATCGTATGGCGTATAATTCCTAGACTGTCACAGTAAGATCTATTAATCGGGAGTGGTGTGTTAATAATACAGATTCGAAAAAGAAAAGTATATAAAAGCATGTCAACTGCATACACCGTAGAGGGCCGGTAAACAAAGGTTTAATTAAAATTATTATCAGTCTTATTGTGATCTAATATCCCTGTTCATCCAGACATTTGATAAGTTGAAGACATTAGTTTGAATTTTGTTTGTTTGTTGTTAAGCACAAAGCTGCACAATAGGCTATCTGTGCTGTTCTCACCACTGGTATCGAAACCTGGGTTTTAGCGTTATAAGCTTTCAGACTTGTAGCTGAGCCACTGGAGGGGCGAAAGTTTATTAGTGTGAAATATTGTAATAAAATCGTCTGCAGTTAACTTGTTTTTATACCAGTTTTAGGTTTATTGGCTTTCGGCGTTTAAACTGCAGCTTAAAAACATATTGTTATAGGCTACGTTTTTAATATTTTAGTTTAGACGTTCTGTATTGTTAGCAAGAGGTAATTTTTACATAACGTACGGTTGCTGTGTGACTCCTAAGTGTCTTGGTTGGACTTGACATCTCGGATTTTCTAGAGACTTGAAAAGAAAAAAACCGTTGAGCCCTATCGAAATCTAATTTCTAATGTTATAAGCCTTCGGACTTACCACTGAGCTACGGGCGGTAAAAAAATCAAATCCGGAAGAGCAAACTAACATTTTCAAAAAGAAAACCAAAGTGCATTTGAGTGAAAACGCAGAAGTTAAGATTATTTATCCCAGCTTTAATGTTTCGTGAATAATTAATTACGCCTTTAAGTGACTGCAGGTCCTTTTAATTAATAATTCTTTCCAACTTCTTAGTGTATTAATTCGAATTACTATTAACTGGAGACGTTTACCTACTTGTCACAAAAAAAGCGCCACCTGTAGAGAATGTTAACACAATACATATTTCACGATATTACATTTGATGTTACTCAAGGCTGAGCGACTTTGTAAATTATATTGCGGCTACATCAAAAGAGAATAAAAACGCTTTTTCCGTCTCTGTTGAACTAATTCAATTAGTCAATTTGTTATGGTTGATGAACACAAGACTTGAAATCATCCAAGAAATGACACTTACACGTGGTATGAAATAGCAGGCCTTAAACGTAAGTTATATGGTGTGAAATAACAGTTCTTAAACATAAGTTATATGGTGTGAAGTAACAGTTCTTAAATATAAGTTATTCGTAGTTTGAAATAGCAGTCCTTAAACAACTTATGCGTGGTGTGGAATAACAGTCTTTAAACATAAGTTATATGGTGTTAAATAACAGTTCTTAAACATAAGTTATATGGTGTGAAATAACAGTTATTAAACATAAGTTATGTAGTGTGAAATAACATTTCTTAAACATAAGTTATACGTGGAGTGAAATATCAGTCTTTTTAGTGAATTTATTTATCATTAATAATACTTTCCAAAATCTTAGGATATTCATTTGAATTACAGCCCCCTGATGGCTTATAATGCGAAAAATCGGGTCACGATACCCGTGGTAGGCAGAGCACAGATGGCCCATTGTGTAACTTTGTGCTCTAAAACAAAAGAACATTTGTATTACTATCGTTTAGGGCGCTCGACTCGCAATCTGAGGGTCGCAGGTTCGAATCTCCGTTACATCAAACATTCTCGCCCTTTCAGCCGTGGGGGCGTTATAATGTGACGGTCAATCCCACTATTCGTTGGTAAAAGAGTAGCCCATGAGTTGGCGGTGGGAGGAGGTGACGAGCTGCCA